ACATATATTTTTAAATATTTTTTTAACCTAAAAAAACTCTTAAACAATAAAAATTTAAAAGTTTCAAATTCAAACATTTCATAAACTTCTTTTTTACTTATTTTTCACTCACTTTTTTATATTTTTTCACATTTCTAAAAGTTAAAACTCTATTTTTTTTTTCAATAAAAATTTATATTTGTCACTCATAACAGTACTAAAAAAACAAAAGTTCTTACCAGCTACATCAAAAAAGCTCTTATTTGCATAAATGGAAAAAAGAACTTTTCAGCCGCCAAAGAAGAACCTTTTTCTAAATGAAAATGTAAATTTCAATCTGATCTTAAATTAAAAAGCTTACCAGGAGACTGAATCCGGTGACATTGGTGAGGGAGGTGGCGATGGCAGCGCTGGAGAGAGGAAGCTGTCCGAGATGTCCGACAATTATAACCGATGCAACCTGCATAAGGTAATTAAACACCGTTGATGCCACCATCGGGGCTGCGAGAGCAACTTCCTTCTTCAGCTCTCCCACAAAAGCACCCCATTTTATTTCCCATCTCCTCTGCTCACTGCTCTCTGCCATATTTCTTGAACTTTGAAACTTGGAAATGCCCGACTCTCCAAGTCATTCATATATAAATACTGAAGAAATTAAATAAGTGGGCAGAAAAAACTGAAAGAAAGGAATAATGTTTTACAGTTGTGATTTTTTACAACAAAAATTTATTGTAAATTCTATAATATTTATATGACATTAAAGAAAAAGATGGATACTAAATCATGTGTTCCACCCCTAATTAATTAAAATAGTTCATAAAATTACGTCACCATATTATAAAATTTATTGTAAACATTATCAAGAAATTATTTTCCTAATCCTTTATTATTACGTGATATAAAAATAATTTTTTTAATTCATCTGATAATAATGGATTATATAGGAGAGGAGAACTCTTCTCTTTCCTTAAATCTTTTTTCATGTGACTCAAGATTAGAATTTATGAGATTTTGAATTTAAATTTTAAATTCTTAAGTATTAAGTCACCTTTTTTAAGGTATTATATAAATATAATTATATGAAAAGCCTTATATCCCTTATATGTGACATCCCAACGGGTTGAGAATTAAAACATCTATGTTTGATGTCTCAATTTTAAATTTTGACATGGGTAAAAAAGGATTGAGAAAGGGAGAACTATTCATTGTTATATACCTTAATATTATTTGATGTAAAAAATGAAAAATATTAAGTACCTAGAAAGCGTTTATATATAAAGGAGATCTCAACGGTCACCATGTATGTCCATAATTCCTCACGCAAAGTATCTTGAAAGGAATTCGAGAATTTCTTTTGAAGAAGACAAACTGCAGTAGTACTGTGAAAAGACAAAAAGCAACTGTAGTGGCAAGAATCAAGATAGCAGGAATAGAAGACGAATGGGAGTAATAGAAATTGAAAAAAAAAAAAGAGAAATATTTGAAGAAAAGTTTATTACTTTCTTAAATGATACTGTATGTACAATAACTTATATATAAGTGTTTACAAAAAGAATATTCTAAGGTATAAAGTACATAAATAAAATATTCTAAAGTATAAAGCATATAAAGAGAATATTTTAAGGTATAAAATATTTACAATAAGCGTAAATATAATCTAAATTATTGTGTTCACATCTTAACATTTCCTTCAAACTCAAGTTGGTTTCAAACTCAAGGTAGTTGTGATGAAACCAACTTGAGTTTGGAAAGAAGAATACGAAATCGTCCAAGAAAATGAGCCTTAGTGAAAAAGTCTGCTGGTTGATCAACAGAGCCAATAAAAACCAAATGAACAGTTCCGTGTGCAACATGATGGCGAACAAAGTGACAAGTCAACCTCAATGTGTTTAGTGCATTCATGGAAAACATCATTATGAGTAATCTGCATGACACTCTGATTGTCACAATAAAGATTGGTAGTAGGCGGTTGAGGAACGCCCATATCTTCTTGTAACCAATGTAACTTAAGTAACTTTGATGTGGCGTCTCCAAGTGCTCGATATTCAGCCTTTGTGTTAGAACATGATGGAACTGTTTGCTTATTGCTACGTTAAGAGATTAAGGAATCACCAAGGAAAAGACTATATCTAGTGGTGGATTTACGATCATTAGAGTCTCTAGCCTAATCAGCATCTGAGTAAGCATGAAGTTTAAGAGATGAATGAGCAGAAAAGTGAAGTCCATGGAACATGGTACCTTTAATATACCGAATAATGCGAAGTACTGCTGCATAGTGAGTGGAGCAAGGCATAGCCATAAACTGGCTAACAACATGAATTGCATAAGCTATGTCTAGTCATGTTGTAATGAGATAAATCAAACTTCAAACCAACTGTTCGTAATGAGTAGGATCAGCTAATGAAGAACCATCCATGGATGTAAGTCGAACATTGGGCTCAAGAGGAGTAGATGTAGTCTTACTATCAATAAGTCTAGTTTTAGATATAAGATCAGAAGCATATTTTGTTTGAGAGAGAAGATAACCATCATCAAAAGAGGTGACCTCAAGTCCCAAGAAATAGGTTGAAACACCAAGATCTTTTATCTCAAACTTATGTTCGAGAAATTGCTTAAAATCATGAATACCTGAAATATCATCCCCAGTAATGATCATATCATCAATATAAAGAAGTAGTAGAATCATACCATGATTAGTCTTGTGTATGAACAGTGCAATATCATGAGGATTAGAAGTAAAACCAAATTCACTGATGGTGGTACTAAACTTCGCAAACCAGGCTCGAGGTGCTTGTTTCAAACCATATAAAGCTCACTTCAATCAGCAAACTTTGTTTGGAGGATACTCAAGTCCAGAAGGTGCTTTCATGTAAAATTCCTTTATAAGATCACCATTTAGAAAGGCACTTTTCACATCCATTTGAAACAATTTCCATCTTTCACATCCATCTAAAACAATTTCCATCTTTTTGCAACAGCAATAGCAATCAAACTACGAACTGAAGTAGGACGAGCAACAGGTGCAAAAATTTCCTCATAATCAATCCCATATTCCTGAGTAAATCCTTTAGCAACCAAATGATCCTTGTAACACTCCACGGAACCATCAGACCGAGTTTTGATCTTGTACACCCATTTACAACCTACTAGAGGCTTTCCAGCAGGAAGATCAACCAAATCCCATGTACGAGTTTTGTCAAGAGCTTGTAATTCATCTTGCATAGCTTGTTGCCAAAGAGGGTTAGAAGAGACCTCTTGGTAGGATTAAGGCTCATGTAAGAAGGTAATAGTATGAAAGCAATGATAATCACGAAGATAGCTAGGAGGATTTCTTACTCGAGTAGGATGACTTAAAGGTGGATTAAGGATCTCATTTTCAAGCTCAAGATTAACAGGGTTAGATCCAATATGTGATATAGAAGAGGTAAGGGAAGAAGACTCAGCATTGTCTAATACATTACCAATAGACTGAACATCTTCTATAGAACGAAGTGGAGCATGTAGAGAGGCATCATGGAGCTCATCAAATGTATCTACATCAGAGTCACTAGGAAATAGCTCAATAGAAGGTTAGTAAAAAGTGGAGGTTGATCAAAAGATGACACCTAAAAGTTTGATAATGAGGAAAACATAGTGTGTTCCCAAAAGACAACATGACGTGAGACTCAAAGTTTTTGTGACACAGGATCCCAACAATGATATCCTTTATGTGTAATCTCGTAACCCAAAAAACAACATAATCGAGCTTTAGGCTCTAACTTATTATGTTCATGAGGTGGAAGAAGAACGAAACAAGCACAACAAAAAACCTTAAGAAGATCATAGGCAGGAGGAATACCATGCAAACATTCATATGAAGACTTATTATTGATGATCGATGATGGAATCCAATTAATGAGATAAACAACTGTAAGAGCAGCTTCACCCCAAAATCGCTCTGGACAAGAAGACGAAATGAGCAAATCATGACCAGAATCAAGGATATGTCTATGTTTACATTCTACTCGCCCATTTTGTTTAGAAGTGTAAGGACAAGATTGTTGTGCCAGTGTACCCTATTCTTTCAAAAAGAATTGAAGTTTAGTACTAAGATATTATATGGCATTGTCAGTTTACAAAACTTTGATAGTTTTAGAGAATTGGGTCTTGACAATTCATTACTAGAAATTGTTGATATTCAGACAGAAATAATTCAGACCAATTACCATTGGTCTGAAAAAATTTTAATTCAGACCATAGATGGTCTGAATAATGATGGGTATCGACGTTATGTTCAAGTTTCAATATTTAGACCCTAAATGGTCTAAAAATTTTTTGCAGGAGTACAGTAAAACCCGCAAAATATTTTCTGACTGATTATGGTCTGA